CAATATTCCCCACACCCAAATCATAGCACACACATAAAAGAGAAAATCCAGGTACTGCTCAGGTTTCAGCAGTGACAGGTTAAAAGCAAAGAATCCATCAGGCACTGCACACCAAGTCCTGCCCAGCCCAAGTCCTGCCGGCAATGCTGCTCCACCTTGCAAACTGCCTGTCAGTCAGGCTTTGGTGTTACTCAAAGATCAAACTCGGTCCTGCCTGTTCATTACCTTAATCCTGTTTTCTACATGACTTTATTATCTGCTTGGGCTTCTCTGGGAAAAATTGTCCCAAGGAGTCGTCCATCCATTTCCTCCCACCAAAAGCAGGAGTCTCCACCAAGGCATCTCTCCTCACTCCCTGCCCCACTAAGTCCTCTGAGCTGTGTACAGAACCTCCCAGGAGTGAGGAGAGAGTCTGGGGGCTAGAGAGGAGGCAATGACAAGTGATGCTTGGCACAGGCTGGCCAGCAGATAAAGTGGCTATGTCTCATCTGGTCTTGTGTCCATTCTCATTTGGGTTCATTCTGAGTTCAGTAAAGACTCAGGGTTTGAGGTCAGTGAGGTCTCATATTTCCTAAGAGAACAACATCCAAAGAATTGGTGCCTTAGGATTCCATCTTGACCATATTTCCCCTCAAAGACAACCACAGGCAGCTCAAAGATCACCCAACTTTTGAGATGATACTGTGTTATGGTGGTATACCCAGACCACCCTCCAGCTATATGCCATCCTAAGCCAGGCAGCAGATGTGCCAAGCACAAGACCCAGCTACATGACTAACTGAAACTCTGATTTTCAGCAGAAATGCCCACCTGTGATCCACAGCCTTACTAGCAAGAGCCTTCTCTGTGCTACGAGGCACCAGCTTCCTCTCCCCTCCACTGGTCAGTGACCACAAGCACTTTGAGGGTTGAAAGGCTAGGCCTCCACAAACTCCCAGGGACTAGTGTAGAAACAACTTTGGTATGGACCAGGAAGGAGCAAGAGAAAACAGCTTGCATCAGCTGAATACCCAAGGTGACAGGCAGTGTGCACGGCACTTTTTCACAATAATTCCATTCTTAATGGATCTGTGAGGTAGGAATAATGAATTTCCATTTTCAGTTCCCACTGTAGAAACTGAAGCCCAGAGAGGTCCCAGATCACAGACTAGTGTGTAGCAGAATAGTTCTGGAAGCAGCTTCCTAGCACACATTTTACATGCTTCTTCCCCACCAGGGAGGGCTTCTCCTGCCTCAGCCCCACTGGTGAAAGGAGTTTGGCAGGATGACCTCATGGGAACAAGTTTCAAAACCTGCGGGATGTCAGTATCCCAGAAGCTTGAGACCGAAGGAGCCTTGGAAGTTTTAAGCTGGCAACAGTGTGAGGTGGCCACTGGTTGTATTAACAAAAATAGGAAAGCCAAAGTGAGGGAGGTGATAATATCTGCCACACATCATACCTCACCTGATCTGTTCAGTACTTGGAGGGATAAAACCAGATAAGTTAGGAAAACTCTCAGGTAAGAATGATTCTGAAACCAGTGTGAGATCAGTACTGTAGGGCACTTACCCAGCCATTGCTCACATTCTTTCTTGGCCTCCTCTCTGCCGCTGCCAGTGTGTCTGGGGAAAGCTGGCTCTTCCCAGGTCAAGGAAGCAAATCTCAACGGGTCCTCCCATTCCTCTTGGCAGGGTTTGGTTTAGAGTGAGCATTGTAACACAGTTTGGGCACTTTTCCTTCCTTCCCTTTGAGTATTGCCCTATGAGTCAATGAACCTACTCTAAACAAGCTTGAAAGTAGGCAAAAGCCATGGCAAAGCAGAAAATAATGAATATTGGCCCTCGTGGTCTTCAGGTACTAAATATTGACTGTGGAATCACTCAGCCACCCAACTTGCGGGCTCCTTATAATTGAAGATCCCAAAAATCCTATTATTGTTTGAATCATTTTGAATTAGGTCTTTCTTCATTACTTATAGCCAAAAGCTATGGCTAACTCATCTGCTCTATTTCTGAAGAACAACTGAACAGGTTAGGGGTGTCACTCAGGTGTCTTCCTAGCAAACACAAGGCCCTGAGTTCAACCCCCAGTACTGAAAGGGGAAAAAAAATCCCTAGAACTTTGGACCTGTAAAAGAAAGCCCAGGAGGAGCAGAAACAAAATTTTCAGATATGTAAGGGCCTGTCCTGCAGGTGAGAGGTTGAACTTGCTTCCTGTCCAGGATCACAGCTCTGGGAAGTAAACTGACCTAGATAACAGGTCCGCATTCTAACATTCAAAGCCTGCAGGGATGCAATGTGTTGTCTGTGGAAGTACTGAATGTCCTGTCTCTGTTCTTAGATGACTATTAGAAGAGAATATTGTAGGAAAAAAAAAATGTTTAAAGAACCTGTCTTGTGTTATGAATAAATCCTTTGGAAAGACAACTCTAGAATGAACTTTTCAGAAAGAAGATATTATGAATACTTCCCTGGGGAGAAAGAGAGCAAAGAGATAAAGCTAGAGAACTGAGGAAGGAAGCAGGCAAGAAATATACCTTCACTGCTACTGCAAATGGTAGCATTTATAGCTCAGGGCTTGCTGAAGAGTTCTTAGACTTACCACCAAAAGCACAACTGATAAGAAAAAAGTTGATAATTTAGATAGTATCAAAATCTAAAACTGATTATGCAGAAGATGTTATTAAGTTAAAAGAACAAAAGACAAAGTTAGGAGAAGATGTTTGCAAACCACGTATCTGCAAAGGACTAATGTCTAGTATATATATAATGATCAAAGCTCGGCATTAAAAAAAGAAAGCAGCCCAATGGACAAAGATATGAATAGATATTTTGCTACACAGGATATATAAATGGCAAATGAGGACATGAAAACACACTCAACATCAGTAGCCATCAGGGAAATTCAAGCTAGAACCATGATGAGGTGTCACACTATTAGAACAGCAAAACAGAAAAAATAGGCCCAGCACTGGTGGCTTATTCCTGTAATCCTAGCTACTTGGGAGGCTAAAATCAGGAGGATCATAGTTCAAGGCCAACCCAGGCAAATAGTCTGTGAAATCCTATCTCCAAAATAACCAGAGCAAAATGGACTGGAGGTCTGGCTCAAGTAATAGAGTACATGCTTTATAAGTGCAAAGCCTTTTTTTTTTTTTTCCTTTTTCTTTAAATCTTTCTTCCTTTCTTTTTTTGCAGTACTGGGACTTGAATTCAGGGCCTACATCTTGAGCCATTCCACCAGCTCTTTTTTGTGAAGGATTTTTTTGAGATAGGGTCTCTCAAACTATTTGCATGGGCTGGCTTCGAACTGTGATCCTCCTGATCTCTGCCTCCTAAGTAGCTAGAATTACAGGCATGAGCCACCAGCAGCTGGCTAGTGCAAAGCCTTTACAAGTGCAAAGCCCTGAGTTCAAACCCCAGTTACACTAAAAAAAAAAGAAAAAATAGTGACAGCACCAAATGCTAGTCAGGGTGTAAAGTGTAAAGAAACTAGATCTCTCATGCATTGCAGGTAAGAATTTAAAATGGTAAAGATAATCTAAAAAATAGTTTGGCAGGTAAAAAATTAAACTTATACTTATCAAACAACCTTGGCATTTATCCCAGAGAAATGAAAATGTGTGTCCACATAAAACCTATATACTAATGTTCGCAGAAACTTTTATTTGTAATAGTCGAAGAACTGGAAACAACCCAGCCATTCTTCAGTGGGGAAAGAAACTGGTACATCCATGCCATGGAATACTACTGGGCAATAAAAGGGGACAAGCCATTGATACATACGATGTGTCTATGGGTCTCAAATGTATATGCCGAGTTTTCAAAAACCCAATCTCAAAAGGTGACATACTGGAGCCAAGAGTAGTGACACCTGCCTGTCATCCGGAGACAGGAGGACCTGGGTTTGAGGTCAACCCCAGGCAAAAACACAAGACCCTATCCTAATGCAAAAAGGGCCGGGTGTGTGGCTCAAGTGGCAGAGTGTTGCTTAGCAAGCAGTAGGCACTGAGTTCAAACCCCATTACCACGACCACCACCAAAAATAATAATAATAATAAAAAAGTGCCATACTATATGATTCCACTTCCACTTATATAAAATCTTCAAAGCGACAAAAAGTCAGAGACAAGAGGGAGTGGAGGAGGGAAGAAGAGCGGGTGTGACTATGAAGGCATGTGAGGGATCGTTGTGCTAATGGAACCAGTAATTCTGTTATCTTGGGCTGGGGCGTGGCTCAGGTGGTAGAGCACCTGCCTAGCAAGCACAAGGCCCTGACTTCAAGTCTAGTACCACCACCACCACCAAAAGTTCTGTATCTTGACTGTGGTAGTAGGTATGTGTATCTAAACACGTGATACAATTGCACAGAATTACACACACACTCACAGTGAGCACAATCGGAAGAAAGGTCTGTGGGTTGTACTCATGTCGATTTCCTGGTTTTGACATTATTTTATATAAAATATTACACAAGTACCCCTCTATCCTATTTTGCAATCTCCTATGAATTTTTAATTATTTCAAAATAAAAGGTTTTTTCTAAAAAAAAAAAAAACCAACAGAATGGCAGGTATCAGATGGGTCAAGCCTGCCAAGTCAGAGAATCATGAATAAAACCTGGATGTATTTTAGTTCTATATAATTACTTTTATAGGTTCTATAGGCCACCTTCACAATTCTTTATTTTATAAAAAATCATCTCTGAGGATGAATGGGATTTTACATAGCCACATAGCTAAGGCACTCCTCAGAGAAAGGGTATCCTCAATCCAAAGCTATCATAAATTCTACATGAAATTATTCAGCTATTATTAATTGTTCCAACAGTCTTCTCAAGCTAACCCCAAATGACTCCAACATGAAAAGGCACCACAACTATCAGTAGCACGTGGGGTAGGTCTCCCCAACCTCTGTACCTCTGGGCCAACTGAGGCAAGAGCTGGTCAACTAGTTCCTTCCTCCCCAGCTGCCCCAGCCCCACCCCACTGCACACCATGGTGGGCTCAGGAATCTCTTACCTGTTGAGGTCCCAGATTCTCAGAGGTGAGAAGTGCCCACAACAAGCTGTCCCTGTCACAAAAGAGCTGCCAAACAAAAGAGAGCAGAGTTAGATCTGGCTTGTCAGAACTTGTGGCGGAAATGGCTACAGGATTAGAAATGCAAGGCTCTTTCGCCTGGGATCATGAGGTTAAGCCAGAATGAGACGCAGCATGAAGGAGAAGAAGCCGAGTGAGTGATCTAGCATGGAGCAGTTGTGGGAAGACAAGTTGGTGTGTGCTGTGTGGGCTGTGGCTTCCCACGGCTGCCTGGCCAGAGACCCACATGGTCAATGATAGCTGAGCTTGCTGCTCAGCCTGGGTTGGAAGGCGTCTGGTCACTGTAAAAACAAACATCTGGATGGGCACCTCTGAGCCCAAAGGAGCAAGCCTGTCAGGCTGCAGCTACAGGAGCCCAGAGAATGGATGCCACAGGCCAGGAGAGGCCTCCTTGGAGCATGCAGTTGGGGCTGACAGGTGAACTCTCATTAGTAGCAGGGGTGGCTGGGGGCATTCCTGAGGGCCTTTAGAGCTGGAGGAGTCTGGCAATGTAGTACAGGTGCAGGGCAGGTATAAATGTACCAAAATGAGAAAGAGACAAACAGGAAGGGTGAGTAAATGCCTCAGAATACAGGGTGGGGGATGAGAGGGGCGAGACAGCCCAAGCTGCTGGGGAGTGGTGTGGGAGTTAGGAATACTCTTCAAAGACACTGCCAAATGCTGACAAGAGGGGTGGCGCAGTGGCTTAAGTGGTAGAAGCCTGCCTAGCAAGCATGAGGCCAAGTTCAAACCCCAGTGTCACACACACACAAAAAAAGAGGTGGGTGAGAAGGCACATGCTGACTGTATTTCCCAGAGTCTTTGTAAACCCCCGAAACATTCAACATAGACATTCTGCAGCGTTTCACGTTAAGTGGAGGCATGAGCCTATGGGAAGGAGCAGTGTAAAGGGAGGTTGGCCACAGTACTTGGACTAGAACTTGAACCTACAAGCCAGACCAGTCCTTTGTTAAAAAGTCTGGCAGGGGTGGGAGGGAAGCCCTAATGGCAAGCAGGAAAGTTGAAAGTAGTTGTGTCATTCAGGACACAACTGGGACAGGGATGGGTCATGTCCCTGCATGTCTTGCCTGGGGAAAGGGAGACTGGACATACTAATGATATGTTAGCAATGTGGGTAGCAGCCTGTTTGCCTGTTCTGCCCAGCACCTGTGCTTTGCTCCCAGAGTGTCAGGAAGAGATGGACTCCCACAGGGTAGGCTCTGAAGAAGCCAGTGGCCTGAGAGGGTGAGGAACTAGCTGCCAGGTACAGATGATGTTAAGGCAGGCATGGGTCAAGCTGTTGGTTTACCATCAAAATTGCAAGGCTAGTATCTGCCTGTCACCCCAAGGTCATATGAGATACCCTCAGGCTCCAATGCCTCAAGCCAAGACTTCCTCCAGGGACATGCCCCATCATTCCATCCTCCTCCTTCCTCACAGGATTGCCAGCAGCCATTCTACTATAAAGTGTCAGTGCAAAAACCATCACTCCTGTCATGCCCCCACTCATTCTCAGCCTGGGTAGCAGTCACTGGACATGAAGAACCAAACTACAAAGCCAGGAGGTATTGCCCTCACCTCCCCCCTCCCAACATTTTCTTTTTAGGATAATCCATTAATAACTGGTAAAGCCAATTACCTTATATTGGAAACATACCAGCCACTTGGAAATCATTGGGGTGGGCAGTTGGGCTCTCCAGACTTTTAAGGAGTGGGGACCAGGTTAAGGGTGCCAGTAGGACACAAACATCTCTTAAAGAGGCCTATGGCAGGCCTCTGACTGGCCAACAGGCCTAAATTAGAGTCAAAGTAAGTCAAAAGAGAGAGGTAGGGGAGGAACCTGGAACTTGAATCCCTGACACTCCCAACACTCTGACCTCCCATCACAAAAGGTGATGGGAATGAAGTTGGGGTTGTAAACACCCTTCCCAGGGACTCATTCCTGTTGTCCTCTACTTGGCCCACTCATCCCTGGATCCCTTCACCTTCATACCCTATGAAGGGCTTTTTAATTTCCTGGACAGGACACCCATGAATGAGTATTTCTTTTTTAGCTGCCCTTTCCCCTAGCTTAAGCACTGTGAAGCAGGGAGGCAGAGGGAGAGAAAGTAGACTGCCTTTCTGGCACAAGGACCTAGGAGTTTAGTGAAACAAACTCAGTAAGAAACCATCTGAGTAACACTTAAGCAGACTTTGAGCTAGCCAGGGGGACTGTTCAGAGCATGACGGTGGGGGAGGGGGGTTGGCAGCAAACCCAGTCTTGCACACCTTGAACTTGAACTTTTCTCCACTGTTTGTGGCCATGCTTTCCCCCTGCCTCACTCCACAATTCCCATGGTTATTAGGAAGAATGAGGCAAAAGCTACACACCAGCCACATTCAAAGTCAGATGCTAAAAAAGGGAGTGCAGATGTGCAGAGCAGAGGAAGAGAGGGATCCACTACTCTGGCACACCCAAAGGACATTTCATATCACAGTGAGTCTATGACATAGAAATTACTATTGCTATCATGTAGAAAGGAACAAGCAGCATCCTAGCCTCAGGGAACTAAGGTGCTGGGGCTGCACACAGAGCTTGCTATTCACTTTTGGCACCCCCCCTGTGACTGTCAGAGCACATTGAAAGGCCAAAAGGGGTGTGATTTGGGCATCCCAGGAGGCTTCTCTCCCAATTCTCTAAGCTCCATGGCTCTTGCATCCAATTGTAAAATGTACTCTGATGTCCTGCTCCCTTGGCATCAGCCTGACATCTGCTCCACATCTCTCGCTGCTCTGGGGCCGATGCAAAGTCAGTCAGAGTCTCAAGAAATACCCAGAGACCAATGAAATGGAAACACATGTTGTTCCTCATGTGTCTCCTCCTGTGTCTGCTTGCTTCCCAGTGCCCAGCACAGTGCCTGGCCCATAAGGGGCACTCAATACAGATCTGTGAAACTGATCTGAAAGAGCCTTCCAGAGCCCAGAGCCAACACAGCTGGGGAAGACACTCATGTAGGCTATCAAAGTGGTACTTCTGCTTCTTAAAGGAATAATCCCCAAATCAGCAAAGACTCAAACCTGAATGATACAAGTCATACATGGCTGGAGAATATGCAGTCCTCATCAGCACAATAGAAGTAATAATAGTACCTAAAAATTAATTTCAACACAAACCTACACAACTACATGCTCCCCGCATCTCTCTCTAAAAGTCATTCTGAGTCCACAAACTATTCTTTTTGAACCAGACAGCTCTTACCAAAAGCCATCCTTCTATAATTCCTCATCCTTGTGCCAGACCTTGCTCAGATCCTCACCTTACCTTACTTGCCCCCTGGCCCCGGCTCAGGCAAGCCTGGCAGCACAGAGACATCTTTAGGCCTAAGAAGTGAATACAGAAGCCCTCGAATAAGGAAAGACACTAGGAGAGTTAGGGCTTCTGTATGCAAGTCGGGAAGTAGAAGGTAACAAGACACAGAAAAGAGAAAAGGAAAGTGAAAAGGGAAATTAAAATTTGTCAGGCACAGACAGGCTAAAAGGAGGTAGATTCTCACTACATCTGCATTAGTTTAGGTCCTATTAATAACACTAGTAATCTGTGGTTCCACATCCATGATTCCACTAATCATGGGTTGAAAACTTTTGGAAAAACCTACCGGGTGCCAGTGGCTCATCCCTGTAATCCTAGCTACTCAGGAGGCAGAAATCAGGAGGATCGAAGCCAACCTCAGCAAACAGTTCACAAGATCCCATATCCAAAATAACCAGAGAAAAATGGACAGGAAGTGTAGCTCAAGGGTAGAGTGCCTGCACAAGAGTGAAGCCTGGAGTTCAAACCCCAGTTCCACCAAAAAAGAAAAAAAAAAAGCTGAATATGACTTTCCTTTCCATAATAATACAGAACAACGATTTACTTACACTACACTGGATTAGGATGTGCTTGTAAGTTATAGGTAAACACTATGCCATTTTTATAAGGTACCTGAGTATCTACAGATTTTGATATTGATTGGGGGGAAAGGTCCTAGAACAAATTCCTAGCTACTGAGGGATAACTTCACTTATTTAGTCTCCCTAAGTAGCTCAGGCTGGCCTCGGACTCTCGATCCTCCTGCCTCGACCTCCCGAGTGTGCCACCACACCCAAGAACAGTCATTTATTGAACACCTGCTATGTGTTAGGTACAAGTGTTTCAACAGCATTACCTCAACTAGTCCTCACAATCCTAAGCAGTAGGTAATGCTCTCCTATTTTACAAGTAAGGAAACAGGCTGAGAGACTACCATAAAGACTCAAGCTCATGCGTAGCAACTAGTAGAACTGGAATTGGACACTAGTTAGTTTTGATTCCAGAGCCCAAGTGATTCCGAAAATTCTTATCTGGGCTACCTTTGGATAGCCCAAAAGTTTGAGTCCCCAGCTTCTAATGTAATACCTGGCCAGAGTGAAAACTCAAATGCTTCCTGAATGAATGAACAAAAGAATGAATGAATGAATGAACGAACAAATGAACGAACATGCGAGCAAGTAACTCCACCTGGAAGAAGGAAGAAGAGCCTGGCTCTGAGGCAGGCAGCAGAAGTGGTGTACGCAGCAGCTGTGCCCCGTGGCTGGCCTGGAGCCGCCCAGCTGGCCTGGGCCCCAGCAGCCTCTGAGCCTGGGCTGACACACTTTGGCAAGGGAGGCCACCAGAGCTGTCACATCATTCACCAACATGCCCATCAAGTGTATTCAGTTCTCTTCAACCCGCATTGGCATTTTAATTACTGTTGGGTAAACTAATTTGTACAAATGAAGGCCAGGCTGCCTAATAGAATATGCAAGCTCTCTGACCTCTGACAGGCACTGACACAAGATACAAAGGCGGCTGAGGAAGGCTTTTTATCTGAGCCTTATTACTCTCTATTACTCCAATTAGTCAGGCTCCAGTGCTCCTAATTGGAGGAAAAATTGCAATTAAATCAATTTTTGATGGGCTGCAAGTGGGCTCCCAAACCGCCCTGCTTGTGAAACACTGATATTATAGCAGC